GCATTCCATGCGTAGTCTATATTGGGAATTATCATTGATATTAAATAATTCTTTTTGCCTGAAATCAATTTAACAATAATTTTTGTTTAAATAAAATTAATTTGAATGCCACCGATAACTTTTTTATATTTATAAAAAAATTAATTTATAAATTAAATTAAGCATTAATTTTTTGTTTTTTTTATGAGTAAAATTTTGTTAAAATTTAAGAACGAAAATTAGAGTTTAGTTTTAATGTAAAACTAATAACTAACACATAGCATATAAAGAAAGGCATAATTAATATGAAAGATTTTTACATTGGCAATTAATAAATAAATATTTTAAATCAAATTTTAAATAACTAATTTTAATTGTAGTTTTATCATTTATCAACCTTTGTAAATTAAATGCGAACAATTATTGTGACGTTCGTGTTTAATTTAAATTGTTTGTTAAGTTTGATTTAACTTATTGATGGTTAGTTAATTAAATTATTTGTGTTGTATTTTAATTTAATTAGTTGTTGTTTGGTCTTGATTGAAATTGTTTTATTGTAATAATTAGTTTATTGTTGGTGTTGAGTTGTTTTAAGTGGTTTTTGTTTTTTAGAACTTAGTGTAAACCGAGTCTTTTAGGTTAGTTTGGGAAAGGAGATGAGCTTATTAAGTTGTTTTAAGGGGTCACAAAGGGGTTCTCGTGTCATAAGCTCATAACTTATTTTTTGAAAAGGGAATAAAAGAGAGAGAAAGAGATAAATTGTGTAAGAGAGCTCCCATGCCCTGACTGAATCTTCCACTCCCATTTTTCCTTGCTCGTGAAGTTGACCTTAACTCTTAAAATCCTTAGGCATTCTTGAAGTTGGTTGTCTTGTTTGGTTGTTGGTTGTGTGACTAGTTTAGTGGTTGAGGGTTTATGAGTATAGATAGTGCCCGTACAGAGTCTTTGGACTTTTGTGTTTCTTAGCTGTTTAAATTTAAGAAAGGTAAGGGAAACTTACCTATTCTTCTATGTATTTTGCATGTTGAAATGAGGTCTGAAATACATTGTATTGATTGTCAAGATTCTTGTTGGGTGCTTAGTTAAGTTAAATGAAGTGAGATAGATTTATTGCATTTTTGTTGACCATGGTTGTGGCTCGATAAGTTGGTTGATATTTATAATTTTTTATTTTGCATGTTATTTTGTAGTTGGAATCATGTTCTATAGTGATGATTATATGAGTTATGGTGGTTTATATTGATTTTGGAGTTAGTAGATGAGTTAAGGATGGATTTTGGTAGTTTAAGAAGTTCAAAATTCATGAGTTTTGTGAAGTGTAGACCCTACACCCGCACTGATCGAACAAAAAGCGTATGACCGAGTGCAGTGAAGTTGGAATCAGTTTTCATGAAAGTTGTAGTCCTGAATGTTGGTTTTTCAATGACATTAGAACCAGTCAATAATGAGATCTATAACTCAAGTAATAATATTTTTAGTGACCAAAGTTTAAGCTGTCAACTTGTATGTAGATTGTTGCAATTTTTTAGGTTTTTAGCATAGTAAATGATGAAATTAGAATTTGAGGCATACAAAATAGTTGTATATAATATTTTTATCTTCCATATGAGATAAATACGAGTTTGTTCTAGTTGGTAGAACTCCATTTGTTTTGTGTTATACATAATTGACGTTGTATGCTAATTGACAATTACATGTTGAAAACGTTATATGTTGATTATCTTATAACATATGGTAATATGTGATGTGTTAAGATATTAAATGTTGGAACATAATGAATTATTGGTATTTTAAA